CGTCGACGTAATTCAGTTATTCCTGCCACCAGCATGTGCTGACCACCCCCATGCAAGGCACATGGATATACTCATAAATATAACAGATATGTCCCTCCTCTCAGGGAAGTAAGAAGTCCTGACCCATATTTTAAACACGAGGAAATTTAGGCTCAGAATATCACATGACTTGTCTGAAGTCACACAGCCCATCTGGGCAGAGATGAAATTCAAACCCAGGGCCAGGGCAGAAGTGCTACTCTGGTTGTCTCACACATAGAAAAGCAAGAAGAGTCAGGGTGAGGATCCAACTGGGCCATTTAGTGAAGAGGCAAGAGCACCCCTCCTTTAGAAGCCCCCAAGGACAGGGTGTGGAGTCAAATCCAAGATGGTAGCCATCCATCTTCATTTACAGTGGTCTCGAGCCATGCACCAAGTAATAGAACACATCTAGAAAATTTTTCACCACAAATTATTTTTTTTAATATATCATTTACTTATTTTTTAATATATCATTTATTTATTTGACAAGTAGGCAGAAAGGCAGGCAGAGAGAGAGGGGGAAGCAGGCTCCCCGCTGAGCAGAGAGCCCGATGCGGGGCTCGATCCCAGGACCCTGTGATCATGGCCTGAGCCGAAGGCAGAGGCTTAACCCACTGAGCCACCCAGGTGCCCCAACCACAGATTATTTTTAAATTTGTAATATTAAAGTATTACACGTTCACCATGAATATTTTGGGAAATTGAGAATAAAGAAGGGGAAGCCTTACCCACAATCCCACTAACCCTAAGCACTGCTGGTAACATTTGGGGGTGTCTCCTTAATGTCCTTACAGTGCATGGTGTGCGTGTGTGGTTGTGTTTTACGTTGCTGAGGGTGTATCAACACTAGTCTTTAACCCCGCTCTTTTCACGTGGATGAAATTTTTACTGCTTTTAAGTGGGTTATCAAAATAACAGCAACCATTTTGGAGCCCAGACCCTGTGATAGGCAATGTGAAGACATCCCATGCGGTATCTCCTTTATTCCTCAAAAGAATGTGTGCCCCATATCAGAGATGAGGAAATGAGGAGTTGAAGGTCACCTAGGTGTCCAGCAGTGGAGCGACTCAAACCACAGTCCATGCTCTTAACCACAGAGCTGGAAGGGTCACCTTTGGGAATAACTCATGCTTGGCCATTCCTGGGAAGCTATCCAGCACTGTAGTAAACGTCCCCCAGAGGGGACTTACATCCTACCTGGAGCTCAGGTCAGGTTCCCAGCAGGGAGGCAAGCATCTCTTGCTTATCTGAAATTCAGATTTAAATCGAGCATGCTGCATTTTTATTTGTTACATCTGGCAAATAGTCATGCCAGCAATCATGGACATTTGCTTGCCTTGACAAGCTATGGTCTGCCCAGGCTCCTCTCTCTCTCTACACACATACACTCCTCTCCCCATCCCTAGCTCCTCTGTCCACCCTTTGCCTAGCTACGAGTTAAAATGTGCTGGGGCTATGGGGCACCCCAGGGTCCCTCAGCAGCCAAGAGACCAGATTCACCACGCCTCACTGGAGCTGAGTGGAGAGCCAGCTATCCGAAAAAAACCTTAATTCTTCCCCACTCCCTGATACTTTCCCGTTTGCACACTTGAAATCCCTCCACCGGGTAAATTCTTCCTGGTTCAAATCTGTTGTAAAGGCAACTCTCATTGCTTTTGTAATCTCTCCACGGATCTCATGACAAGTTCTTCTGCCAATACAGTTTCTACCCCCTTCCATGTCCTTTCAACTGAGCGTGTTGGGGTGGGGACGAGGTTGGATCCTACGGCTGTTTTGTGGGTGGCTGCTCGGAAACCTCATTGAGGCCTTGGAAAGGGACCCTGGAGTTGGAGACTGAACACAGTGCTGAGGAGGAAGTTTTGAGTTGCCATGGGAACCTCTTGTCTGATGTTTTTGCACCCAGATAAGCTGCTCCAGGCACCTGTGAGCTTGGAAAAAGGGGAGCAAAAATGAAAGGAAAGATGTTTTTGGAGGTTGTTTTGTTTTGTTTTAATGCAAGCTGCAGCCCCAGCCCACAGTGGAAGGAGGAAAATTCCCCAGCTCCCACTCCCGCCTGCCTCTCCTGGTCTTCACGAACTCCCTTCCTTTCAGCTCCTCTAAGTTCCCAGGGAAACAAACTTCAAAGGGACAAGAAGGGAGTGTAGGAGGGGTGTACTCAACCTCTGGGATTCCCCTTCAGTTCTTATGGGGCTGAGCAAGAATTCTGGTCTCCAGGCCCCTGGTATCCCAGAGCTCTTCCTTTAGGGACAGTGGGGAGGCCTCCAGGTGAAAGCTCTACTGACCAAGGCAGGAGGCAGCAACTGGGGCTGAATTCAGCAGTAACCTGGAGTAAACTCCTAAAAGCCTCATTTGCCTGGAAGGCCTCTATTTTCCAATATGCAAAATGGACATGATGGAACCAGATAAGAATCGTAACTATCGCTGGTTGGAAAAGGTTGCTCTTTCTCATAGTTTTTCAAAAGATTTTATTTATTTATTTGACAGACAGAAATCACAAGTAGGCAGAGAGGCAGGCACAGAGCGAGGAGAGGCAGGCACAGAGCGAGGAGAGGCAGGCTCCCTGCCGAGCAGAGAGCCGGATGCGGGGCTCTATGCGATATGGAGCTCGGAGCTCGATCCTAGGACCCTGGGATCATGACCTGAGCTGAAGGCAGAGGCTTTAACCCACTGAGCCACCCAGGCGCCCCTCTTTCTCATATTTTTAATCTCTATTGTTTCCTGAGAGCAAAAGCCATGTACGCTTGGTCTTGTTCTGTGTTTAAACCACAAACATTACAGAAATTTTGTGACTAAGAAGGGCCTGTAATTTTTTGCTGTAGAATAGTGGTTCTCAAACTCCCAAAGATAAAGAAATCCCCCCCCGGGGGGGTGGTTGTTAAAAATCCAGATTTGTGGGCTCGTCCCTCATAAATTCTACTACAGCAATCCAGGAGCATGGCCCATTTCAGCTCATCTCACAAATGATGGCTAGTCATGACCTCTGAGATACATTGATCTAGAACGGACCACTTTAGCAGTTCAGTTTATATGCCTCCAGACTGGTCCTCTATGTTCTGCACATACTAAGTTTTGTATCTTGGAAAAAAAAAATAATAAGAGTGTCAATGTCTTTGGTGCCTACAAGTCAATGATAGTTACTGAACTCCTTGGTACTGGGACAGGGATACTAAGAAGGATAAGGTAAGGCCCCAGCCCTCAGCCTGGCAGTCTGGTGGGTGAGCCTGATGGGTCTGTACACAGGCTGGACAGTGAGAAGAGCTTTAATGGAAGAGGCATAGTGAGTCCCAACTGCCTGGGGAATATGGCACCCAACGTTGGGGGATGCCTGCCCAGCTCTCCTTGGCTCTCCATTGCTCTGGGGCTGCCATCAGAGTTTTCCAATAAAGAGAATGCAAAATGGAGATGAAGGTCATTGCTAGTATGGGGACTCTCAGAGTCTGCTCCCCTAGAGTAAGCTGTATTAGGAAGTTCTGTCTTCTCCAGGTGGTGAGTAGAAGCTGTCAGTTCCCCAGGATCCCTCCTATTCCCCCACTGTCAGAAGGCACCCGGATTGGTTATCAGCTACTGTGGGCCCTGGGAAATGCCCAGAAGAGCCATTTACACAGCAAGACAACATGTGGCAACAAAGAGTGGCTTGACAAGAATTTAAAGGCAGACTTGCACCACCAGAATTTAGTAAAATTAAGCCACAGCAGGACAGGAAGCCTGGGGAGGATACCATTCAAAGTACTTCAAGAGAAGTAGAATTTAGGAAGAAGGAACCAAAAGGAACATGTGTTGTTTCCAGAAAATTGTTCTATATCTAAGAATTTGTAACCCTCTAAGTTTATTTAAGTGGCCCCAGAATGTCCGGCTTGGTCAAGGCTCCCAGGCCATGTGTGACCTGCCCCCTGAGTCTGTGTTCAGCCCCATGCCCCAACCTCCCCCTCATGCCAACACTCCAGCCCCGCTGGCCTTCTTCCACCATATCAAACTCACTCCCATCCTGGGGCCTTTCCACTGGCTCTGCCCACTATCTGGAATGCCTCGTGTGGGAACAGACAGTACATTGCTGGCTCCTTCTCACCACCCAGGCCTCCCTTAAAGGTCAGCGTCCCCATGTCCACCCTTCCTGAGCTCAGCAACGCCCCCCCAACCTCTCCCGGTCTTACTTTCAGCCCAACACTCATCACAGGTACAAGTTTCTGGTTTGTCTCCCTTCCTGTTTGACTCCCCCACCACCCACTCGTGAATACAGGTTCCCAGAGCCCGAAGCTGTCATTCACACTGTAGCTCCAGCACTGGGGACAGGGCCAGGAACACAGTAGGTACTCAAGAAATGTCGGTTAAATTAATGATATAGGCCAAAGGGGGCACACATTGTCTTTTTAATGCCCTGTTCACAGCTGATGTACATCCTGGGCCTCGTGGCCTTCCAGCCAACCGAGACTCTGCCAGAGGTGCTGGTGCCTGAGGCCCGCTAGGCGGGCTCTAGGGCCTGCTCCCACCCAGAGCCCATCAGCTTCCACCTTCCGCACACTCTTAGCTGGGCAACGTTCCCTTGCTCCTCTCAGAAGTTCGGATGAAGTTCAAAGTGCGGAGTAAGTCAGATGGATGACCAAGAACTGAACCCATGTGGGCTCATCCTCCCTTCCCACCTCAGAGCCCGGTTTCCTCCCGAAGCCTTGGGCACCACCAGGCCTGGGCCGGATGCTTGGCTCTCCCTCCCCTGGGGAGGTTCTGGAATGCACTCTCGCTGACCCTCCCATTAGAAACAAGGGAAATGCCTCCGTGCGAGCCGCCCAACTCAGACAAAGCTTGGCATGGTTCTCAGTCCTCCACAATCTGACCAAATAGGTATTTACTTGCGCCTTTCAGGCGTGTGGCTTGGACGCGGTGTTCCGCATCGTGGAAGTGGTCGTGCACCAAGTGAAACATCCGTTACTATAGTAACAGTTCCTTTTTATTGATACCAGAATAAACAGGAATGCAGAGCGGCCTCACTCGTTGGCACACGCAGCCGCCTGCCGTCCCCAGGGGTTTAAGAACCGCCCTTCAGAGGCGGCCCTCCTTGCTAGTGTGGGACTTCCCAGCGGAGTGAGGGACCCAGCCACGGCTCCGGCTTCCAAGTTCCCTTCCCAGAGACACAGCTGAGAAGTAAGACCATTTCTATTCTGTTTCCCTTTGCTGGGAAGGGAGTGGCCGTGGGAGGAGGTGTGAGGGCCCGGGAGCCCAGGGGCAGGCTGTCAGGGGAGCAGAGCTCTTGGAGCTGGGTTTCTCGGGCTCTGTCCCCCATCCAAATCCATTATCACACAGAATAGCGGGCTTAATCCTCATTAGTAGACAGACAACAGGCCGGGCTACCACTAGGCACAAGTCAGAGAACCCAGGTCCTGGCATCAGACAGAGCTCCCAGCTTTGATTCGAGATCCTTCCTTTACTGGCTGTGTGATCTGGGGAAGTTAAGTGACCCCTCAAAGCCTCAATTTTTTCCTCTGTGGAAAGGGGACGCAACAGTGGCCACCTCCTCAGTCTGTGGTGAGAACTTTCCAAGCTCTGGCTGCAAGTGGCTTCGCACACACCAGGTGGCACACGTGCATGGTAACATGGTAACTGCCTGGTCGGTGTGGCTCGAGCACCTGGCAGCCGAGGCAGGCCTGGGACTGAGCTAGAAATCAGGGGTTCGCTGGTTCACTTTTGGGAACAGCTGACAAACCCGGCTGGTTTCCCCGGCTGTGAGCAGCCCCAAGAGCTCTGTGTCCAGGGGCTTAGATCCCGAGGGGCTCTTAGATCAGTTGGTGGTGAGTGCCTGCCAGGATTGTTCCCCGGGAGGCATATCCCGAGTGGAAAGGCTGGTATCATGCCACTGGTGGGCCAGCAGGAGGATCTGCTGACACTTATATTCCTTATACCTGCTGACACTTGTTCCTTGCGCCACACTCCACGCCAGCCTTGTTAAGGGCCTTCTATGTCCAGCTCTGGACTCCGCTATGACATTGTGTCAAACTCCTGAATGCCCACCCAGACCTTCTCCTCACAAACTGGGAGGTCATGGTGGACCCAGAGCAAAATGTTTAGGACTTTTGAACCATTTTCCCATGGGGTGGGGGTGCTGCATCCAAATGGACAAGGAGCTCTGATTTCAGGCAGGGGCCACCAAAAACGGTCTCCAGTCAGTGAAACACAAAAGGGCACTTTCGGGGCACCTGGGTGGCTCAGTCAGTTAGGTGGCTGCCTTGGGCTCGGGTCATGATTCCAGGGTCCTGGGATGGAGCCCTGCATCAGGCTGTCTGCTCAGCAGGGAGCCTGATTCTCCCGCTTCCTCTGCCCCTCCTCCAGCTCGTGCTCGAGCTCTCTCTCACTCACTGTCTCTCAAATAAATAAATAAAATCTTAAAAGGGGGTGCACACTCCCTATTGGGAGGAAAAAATGGCAAGGGTTGGGAAATCCAGTGGCCACACTTGTGATCTTCATCGAATGCCTCACTCTCTTTTGCCAGTGGTTATTTAAAAAGCCTCTCTCCTCCTCTACCCTTCTGCCTCTTGAAATATTGAGTTAAGAAGGTCCCAAGTGCATCCTGAACCTGCGTCTTGAACGGTACCGAGGATCTAGGGTGCCGGGAGGGAGAGCAGCACCCTGGGGAGGGAGGGCCACCAGTTGGCCCCCTCCTAATCAAAGGCCAGCCCCTGGACAGACAAGCTGTGGATTCTGGCTCAAGCCCAAGGTGGCGAGCGCTGGGCAGGGGCTCCCCAGCGAGTCTGTATTTCCCTTGGGTTAGAAATTCTCCAGCTGCTAAGCCTCATCTACAAAACAGGTGCAATAAAACAGTACTGCCGGCAGCCTCCAGGACAATCGTGAGATCCAGATGTAGGTGGGTGAGCCTCTGCCAAATGCTGAATGCTACCGAAGGTCCCCTCAGGAAAGGAGGAGTTTGCCTTCTGAGAGCATCCCTGTGCCAGGCACTTGACCAGCGACATCATGCACATTTGATCAGGTCACCATCTAAACAGCCCCATGAGCAGGTATGGCCATTATTTCCATTGAACAGAGGCTCAGAGAGGTGAAGCTATGTGCCCAGGTTCACACAGCTAGTAAGGAGTAACACACCATGACTGAAACCCAGTTCGTCTCCTCCAAAACTTTTGCCTTAACCTTGTGACTTGACTGGCTCGTGTGTCATGTGTTCTAACTGATGCCACCAAAGACAGAACCAGAACCACCACGGCAAAGAGGCAGATGAAGGGGACATGAAGCCCTTAGGCATCTCAGGATCCACTGGGACCTGGGTCCCCACCACCACCCTAACATCAGCCACGCATGCCCCAGCCGCTGGCGGGCTCATCCTGGGAGCAGTTAGTGACCCCAGCTGAGCCTTGCCTGGTGTGGGGCTGGTGTCTGCGGAGCCCCTAGGAAGAAGCTGTGGGACCTCTTGGGTTATCAGCAGAAACAGGGAAGAACCAAGGAAGAAGCTCCCAATCTCTCCCCTGACATTTTACTACCAACCCCACCCTGCCCCCAAAGAGGAAGAAAGTCCCACGGTTTGCAGAGTAAGTGAGAATTATTTGCCCATCTTGTAGTCAAGCAACACTCCATTTAGCTGTCACCTACCGGCTGCACCTGCCCCTCTCAGCTCATCCCGTCTTCACAGCATCATAATGTTAGAAAGGAGGAGGGTCCTCAAGGTTAAGACCCATCCAAGTTCACCCAGTAGCTAAGAACTATGACCTCAACTACACCTGCCCACCGTAACCAGGTCAATCAGTCAGCTGAAATCACTCAGGCTAAAGCAAAGAAGATTGATTTTTTTTTTTTTAATAACTCCATGATTTACAAAGCTGCCTGACTATTGGAATCTTTCGGGGGAGTTTTTTAAAATCCCAAAAGCCAGGCTGCCCTCCCAGGCCAATGACATCAGAATCCCTGGGGTGCCACTCAGGCATTGGTATTTTTAAAACTTCCTCTGCTAATGCCAACATGTAGCCAGGGTTAAGGGACACTGATTAAATCAGTGCGGTTTTTAAAGAGGATAAGAAAGCTCCATCCAGCCTCTGCCTTTGGCTCAGGTCATGATCCCAGGATCCTGGGATCGAGCCCCACATCGGGCTCTCTGCTCAGCATGGATCCTGCTTCCTCCTTTCTCTCTGCCTGCTTGTGATCTCCATCTGTCAAATAAATAAAATCTTTAAAAAAAGAAAGAAAGAAAAGAAAGCTCCTCCCAAGACTAGGGCTGGGATTTATTAGTAATTGTTAAAAACAGCTAATTGGGTGACCACACCGTGCAATTCTAGGGGCTCTACTCATCGTTTAATTTACAGGAGTGAGGCCCTAGGGTTGTACAGTGCACAACCTGCCTTGCTGTATTTGGCTGCCCAGATATGTGGCACCACTGAGTCTTCAACTCTGTGCTAGGCGTTTGCCAAGCACTAAGCAAGCATCCCCTTGTTTATTTTGCAACAAACCTCGTGAAGAAGGATGCTGTTCTGGCGGAAAGCAGCCATGTAGACAGTAAGTAATGAGTGGGCATGGCTGTGTTCCAAAGTGGTTGAATTTGGTCCAAAGGTTTAGTTTGTGGACTCTTGCTGCGGAGCAGAGGTAAAGTTGCCCAAGGCTAAGAAGGGGCACAGCCAACATTCAAATCCAGATCGGGAGGCTCCCGGGTCTATACACCTAAGCTTCATTCTGCCTTTAACTCCCCCTCCATTGGCCTGTTCCTCTTCTCTGCAGGCTCCTCCTTCCGGCATTCATTTTTGTCTCTTCAGAGGCAACCTCACACTGTGCCCCCATCATGGCCACTTCCCTGAAGGTCTCTGATCTCTCAGCACCCCCCAGCTGCCTGAGGGACCTAGCCAGGGCAGCCCCGGGATCAAAGTCCCCCCTTGCCGCCTCTGCTCAGGAGGACCACCTGCCCCCAGGCCCCCCACCCTACCCACGGAAGCCCGGGATTTCTTGGCCTAGCATCTGGGCTGGCCCCTGTAATTCCAGCACCTACGTGAGGCTCTTTTAATTAAACTAAAAGGCAGAGAAGCCGGCTTAGAGGCTGAGCCCTGGAGGACCCCCACACGCGTGTCCACAGATCTCACACGTGTCATTTCTAGAGCTGGCAAAGGCAGCAGTTCTCCCAGCCTGCGGTTTTGGTCTGAAGAACCAGCCACATCGTTCAGGATCCCTGCCTGAACCACCACACCACCCTGGCCTCAGGAGGACCACCTCCCCCTCCCCCACCCCAGCTACATGCTGATTTTTTTTTTTTTTTAAGATTTTATTTATTTATTTGACAGACAGAGATCACAAGTAGGCAGAGAAGCAGGCAGGGCCTGGGGGCGGGAAGCAGGCTCCCTGCTGAGCAGAGAACCCAATGCGGGGCTCCATCGCAGGACCCTAAGATCATGACCTGAGCCAAAGGCAGAGGCTTTAACCCACTGAGCCACCCAGGCGCCCCTCTGATTTCATTTTTAAAACAAAATAAAGAGGCCTGGAGCCAGAGCTGATCCGTGGTCAGGCCTAGGTGCCGGACTGGCTGAATACATACAGGGTCCCTCTTCCAGGAAGGACACCGGGGAAAGGGTCCTGCTGCTGTGGTGGGGCCCAGCCCCCGGCAGGCAACCCATTGGCTGGCTGGTGACCTATGGGGTGAAGAGTCGCCGCCTGGCCAATCAGATGTTCTTCCTCTGGAATTTAACAGGCTGGAGAGACGAGTGCCCAGTGGAAATCAAAGAAACCAAAGTCCTATAAAAATGTCCCAAAACCTGCTGACAGTTTTTCCACACACACACCAGAGAGAATGGCCTTTTTTTAAAACTCGAATGAGATGCACTCTTTCCCCGACTTGAACCCACCCGTCCACCCTCACACCAACCACTCTCCCTGTCCCTCACTTACGCCACTCCAGACACAGTATGCTTTTTTGTTCCCTGAACAGACCAAGCTTGTTCAAGGTACGTGAGTCACACAGGCTGTTCCTTCCCTCTGCCCCAAACAGCCTCTCTCCTCCTCCTCCTCGGTCCTCGGGTCTGAAATGTCACGTCCTCAGAGAGACCCTCCCAGTGCACCTGGCTGAAGATGGGTCCTCCTGTTAGCCTCTATCCCAGACCCCTGGTTCCTTCAGTGGGCTCCTGGCAATTTGCAATCATTTGTTTTGATTGGTGTGTGTCCATATTTACTGTCTGCCTCCCTAACAGAAGGTCGGCTCTGTGAGAGCAGGAACCTTGTTTGCTTAGTTCACCTCTGTGTGTCTAGGGTCTACCACAAAATGTGACAAACTGTAGGAACTAAAAACATATTGTAGAATGAATGAAAAATTTTATTTATGTTCTGAATGGTCATTCCTGTTATGCAGACACTCTCAGCTTTTGTGTACTTACTTTGTATCTGGCCACATTATTGAATTCTCTCATTCATTCCAAATGTTTTAATGTTAATCCTTTTGAGAATTCTCGGTATGTCGTGGTATCTTAAGCCAATTATTTCTGCCTTCTCCTTTCCTAAAGTATACAATTTGTTTCCTGCCTTGTGGCTTTGGTAATGTACAATACAGTTAGTTATTCCAAAGATGGTGTGACGGATGAAAATTATGACTTTCTGGAAGGTTTGGGACAGAAAAGGACTAAAGGCAGGATCAACAGCCAAGGAGCTATGACAGCTATGTAAGTGTGGTGTGGACAGGATGAGTAAAGAGGATGGCTGAAAACCACTCAAAGGTTTGGTGGGACATGGTCATGAGACTAGGCAGCAAAAGGGGGAAAAAATCCCCAAACGCCAGTCTGAATCAGGGATCTAATGCATTGGCTCCCAGACAACATAAGCCCACAGACTAAGAAAATATCCACATTTTAGGGGTGCCTGTCTGGCTCAGTCGGTAGAGCATGCGACTATCGATCTGGAGGTCATGAGCTCAAGCCCTACATTAGGTGTAGCGTTTACTTAGAAAAAAAAAAAAAAAAGTAAACGCCCACATTTTTAAAAGATGAGGGAGCTGTTTTGTCAACTGCCCATTTTCAGCTATCAAATACTACCACAATCTTTAAAAACCAAAGAGCTAGGAAGGATAGAACCTGAAAGCAAACAGCCTTATCAAGAAAGTGAAGAAAGGCGATTAATTAGAATTTTCATTTTAGAGACAGTTCTGAGAATGTGGATTCAAGAAAAAAATTAGCAGATATGTTTTAAGCTCTGACACTTCATCTGGCTACTTCCAAAATATCTTGTAATAATTAACACTCTTTCCAGTTTACACAGCACCTTTACAAATGTGATCTCACTTAATTCTCCAAACAGCACCCTGCAATGGGTAATAAGAGAAATGCCAAACATGTATCCAGTGGGCCACCATTTGCAAAACATAATCTCCTCTTTGATGCTGACATTCCCTGACATGCCACCCTGCCATTTACACCCTGCCACCTCCCCTTCTCCTGCATTTTCCAGCCCCACTGAGCTATTACCTACACCCAGGTGTTTGCACACACCACCATGCCTAGCTAGTTTACTTGGAGAACTCCTGTTTACGCCAGTGCTCGGCTTAGAGCAGAAGCTCAACCTCAGAAAGGCAGGATTCATGAAGGGAGAAGCAGTGCCTCAATTTTCACTTGAATTACTAAAAGAAGCTGATGGCCAGGCTGTGTCATCCCCCTGGAGACTTTTTCTGAAGAAGTCTTCCTTTCTCTGTCGGTCTCTGTCATCTCTCTCTCTCTCTCTCTCTCACACACACACACACACACACACACACAAGTTTGCTTTGGGGCACTGTAAGGATACAAAGCCAACTTATAGGAGGGAGCCCTTCTGCCTGAATTTCTACTTAAGTAAATTGACAAATTTCGAGCTTCTGTGGTGGAAGTGAGGCCATCAAGAAGCCAGCCATCTGCATTAAAGATGACAGCCATCACTTTGTAATTAGACACATAGCCATTCCAGGATTTCCTACTCTCCTCTTTGATCTGGAGAAACTGAAAAGCTGGATGCTTCCACAGAGAATTTGGAATGAAGAAGAGGGAAACGGGACAATAGGGGGTGAAGTCTCCTTTTGATCACTACGTCCATCCACACTTAACAAACACAAACTTGTTCTTTTTAAGTATCTTTTCTTTTTCTGATGAGATCTACTGAAAAACAAAAAACTCAAACATAATTCTTTTTGTAGGATATTATTTTCTACAAAATCAGGCCAAAAACATATGCATGTGTCCACCCCAGTATCATTTCAGCCCCATACCACGCTTTACAAACAGATCTCCAATCCTTACAACAACCCTGGGCACAGGTTCAATTATTTCCATCTCACAAATGAGGAGATCAGAAGGTCAGACACTCAGCCCAGGGCTTCCCAGCGACAGATGGCCAAAGTCCATCTAACATCGAGAAGCTTCACCTGTGCCCCACGGGGGTGGGTGAGACTGTGGACCCCACTCTGACCAACCCCCACCCCTACCTGTCTCTACAGCCTCGATGTACTCGGAGATCCAGAGGGAGCGGGCAGACATCGGAGGCCTGATGGCCCGGCCCGAATACAGAGAATGGAACCCAGAGCTCATCAAGCCCAAGAAGCTGCTGAACCCCGTGAAGGCCTCCCGGAGCCACCAGGAGCTGCACCGAGAGCTGCTCATGAACCACAGAAGGTGGGAATAGAGCTCAGTTGCCTCCTCCTGGCAAGCATCTCCTGAGGCCTGCTGGGCCTCGAAGAGGCACCCCTTGTGGAAGGCAGGGCTGATGGTCATGCTGGCTCTCCCGGAGGCTGAGGACAGCTGAGGGTACCACACATAGTCACCCACAGAAATTGTGAAGTTTTAGTTCCCAGTGGTCCCCACGAGCCCTGCTCTCCCTCCCAGCTACCTACTCATGCCTGTCCTCCACATACATTTACTGAGCACCTACTATGTGCCAGGCATGGTATCCAGACCTGAGGTACAAGAAGGAATGGGACCCAGTTCCTGCCCTCACAGTGGGGATGTATGCATAACCACAGGCTAGGAGGAGGCCTGAAGCCTGAAGGGTGGGCTAGAGTCAGCCAGACTAGGAGGTGGGCATCAGCTGGTGGAAAGCAAGTATGTTCCCAGCAAAGGGAAGAGCATGTGCGAAGAGACAGGAAACACAAGTAGCTCAGGGTGTTGACAGCATTGACTTTGAGGTAGGCCAGAGATGTGCTGACCTGGAAAAGCAGGGATGTCACAATCACAAGGGGGTGGTAGGAGGGAGAGGCGTAAGGGAAGCAGCGAGGCCAGGGATGCAATGAAAGAGAGAGGCTTGCAGTGGCAGGGCTGGGATTCAATAACGGAGGGAATGTGGAGGCGGCCTGGGAAATACCTCCCAGCTGGCTAGCACCAGGAGGAAGGCGGCGGCGCCTCTGCAGCTCCCTCTACTGGCACATTCTGGAATTGGCACGGGCTAGGATTCTCATTCTATTTTCCGCTCTGTTCAAGACCTTCCAGCAGGTGTCATTTTCTATCTTCGGTGGGTTCTTTTTTGTCTTGCTTAGTGTAACATGTGTCTTTTCTCTGAATGTGTTTTAGAGTCATCCCTTTTCACGTCTAAAAACAACACCACCATAGAACAAACAAAAGCCTAAAGACAAATCAGGGAAACACTTGCAATATAAAACACACATAAAAATGTATACCTATCACTTATAAATCCATATGGGGAAAAATGAACAAAGAGAGGTATAGTTAGTTGGCAAAAGAAGAAATGCAAATGATGGGTGCACATCTCGAAGGCTGTTGTTCCCAGGTAACTAAGAATTAGAGAAACACACATGAAAACCAGTCTTATTCCTTGCCTAGCAGATGCTCAAATACAAAAAGACTGAGCAGTGACGGTGGGGAGAAATAGACGCTTTTGTACACTGACGACAGAGTATAAACTGGAGAACCTTTTCTAAGGGAAAGATGGAAATATGTGTCCAAAATCTTTTCAAAGAGCCTGACCCAGCAAATCCACCTCTAGAAACTGACCCTGGCACATAACCAGAAATGACATACCACCTGGTCTCTGCTGTCAGACAGCCTGGGTACAAATCCTCGCTCGGCCCCTTCGAAGCTGTGACTTGGACTGGTGTCTTCAGTCCTAGCAGCCTCATTTACTGGCTGCCTATAAGGGGACAAGAATGAGACCCCCTCCTGGAACTGCCCGCGGCGGGGATGGGGGGTATAGGACACAATGGTATAGGTTGGTGTCACTATGGGGTGCAGCCCTGAGACTGGGGTGGGGGGACACTAGGCACTCCTGACGGCTCCCCCCCACCCAGGGGCCTGGGCGTGGACAGCAAGCCAGAGCTGCAGCGGGTCCTGGAGCACCGCAGGCGGAACCAGCTCATCAAGAAGAAGAAGGAGGAGCTGGAGGCCAAGCGGCTGCAGTGCCCCTTTGAGCAGGAGCTGCTGAGACGGCAGCAGAGGCTGAACCAGGTGGGTGAGAGTGCCCAGCCCTGGCCCCAGCCCCTCCCAGGACTATCTCCCGGCCTGGGGCGGGGGTGGGGGGGTGTTGCTGCACTTGGCCACAGCTGACAAGAGGGACAAGATGATGCCAAATGAGGCTTCAACCCGCACTCCACCACCAGCCTAAGTCCTCATGCTGCCACTCACTCAGCTGTGTGACTTTGAGCTGGTGGCCTCCCCTCTCTGAACCTCAGTTCCCTCATCGGCCCAACCTATCGCATGCTGATCCTGATTTCATTCTCGCTATGGCCCTACAAGCCAGATGGCGTTCCCATTCTAGAGATGAGGAACCTGAGACCCCAGCCGAGGCAAGCGATCCGCCGCAGCTTCACAAGGAAAAATTTGTCTCATGGTGTCACCCCAGCTACCAGGCTGCTGGCAAAGCTGATCCCCCGTTCTGTTTCCCCCAGAGAGGATCCATGGTCCAAACACTGTGGTTTGGGGAAGAGGAGCTCCCCCTAGCCAGTCCCCACCCCCACCCCCCACTTTACACCTCTGCTTTGTCTCTCCTTTAGCTGGAAAAACCACCAGAAAAGGAAGAGGACCATGCCCCCGAGTTTATGAAAGTCAGGGAGAACCTGCGGAGAATCGCGACGCTCACCAGCGAAGAGAGAGCTCTGTAGAGGGGGCTGTTGAAGCTCCAGCCCCCGCCGCACCCGCCTGCAGCCCTTCGGCCCCTGGCAGCCCCGGGCCCCCAGCCTTGGGCCATCTGCAACGATGTTCACGCTTGCTCTTGTGAAAATGCCCCAGAGGGCCTGGGCCCTCCTTCCCAACCCTAAAGAAGCCAGGGCCCCTAAGCTCCCTGGCTTTTCCTTCCGAGCACTCACCGCTTCTGCTCCAAAAGGAAGCTGCTGCTGAGAAAACTTTCCCAAGGCACGTCTCCAGGAAGCTCTGCTGAGATTCTCCTGGCAGAACTGGGAAGGAGAGAGAGGCCCCTCTTTGGCCTGACCAGCCCTCCATCTTGCCCAGGCCCCACGGGGCCCTGCTTCTCTGGACAGCCCAGCAACCTGCTCTCTGAAAGCTTCCCTGACTGGTTTCCCCTGCGGTCATGTGGGGGGCATTGAAGTAGAGCATCTCAGAACACCTGCCCTGAAAGCCAGCTGAGGGGAATATGGTTCAAGTGCAGCTGTCCTTGGGGAGGAAGGGCAGGGCAGCTCCGAAGGCAGCCTTGGCGCTCACAGCCGCCAGGTTGCAAGGGTACTGACAAGGAAAGCTTCTCAGAGTTTGCCAGCTTCCCCTACACCCAGGCGTTTGCTTTCTCCTCTCCAGGGCCTCCCTGTCTGGGCCTTGTAACCACACCTAACCAGGGCTGCGGCCTTCCTGCTCCCCAAAGTCTAGAACAGTGCTTCTCAAACTTGCTTGTGCCTATAAATCACTGGGGGTCGTGTTACAGGACAGCTTGTGATTCAGGAGATCTGGGCTGGGGGCTGAGAGTCTGCGTTTCCAACCAGCTCCTGGGCGGGTGCTCCCACCACCACCCTGTAAGCAGCCAGGGACAGTAAATACTAGAAACGCCTTCCCTGAAGCCACCTCTGCCCTGGGGGTTCCCCGCCCTGCCTCTGCAGCCCCAAGGGCTCTCGAATATCCACCCCATTCCAGGATCCCCAGACCTGGGAAAACATTTGCCCAGCAAATTATGTCCGTTTCATAATTGCCATTGTCACTGGAGAGGTCTATCATTGCCAATCTGCATTTTCTTACCCCACCGTCATGATGCAATTCTAGCAAAAAAAAAAAAAAAAAATTATTTTCCGAAGTCTATGGAGAACAAATATACAGTGATTTCCGTGGGTTTCTGGAAATACGAACGGTGGTTCGTAGGCTCCTTTGAGTCCCCATTTCCAGTTCCTGCACCGGCTCCCTGCTTGGTTTCCACCACCTGAGCTCCGGTGACGTCACTCATTCTTCCTCAAAACCCTCCCCGCGCGAGACCACGTGTGTCAACCTTCTGCTTCTAGCCCACTGTTAAAGATTTAGAGAAGAAACCAGGCCAGTTTTTTCCCTGCCCCGTGAGGGATAAAATCCCGGCCCTCTGGCCTTGCAGCCCCTTCATTTAAGGTGATAGGGCAGAGCTAGAAAAGCATTTCCTTCCACCGCCTCTCCCCGCCAAAAACGGCCAGAAAAAGCTGCTGCTGGAACGCTATTTTATTCTCGGACCAAACGTGGGACATTCAGCAGGAAAGGGGTCGTCCTGGTCTCAACCCCTAACTGAGTGGTTTGAGGATGACCAAGACGGTGCCCTTTTCCTGGGTGGGGTGCCCAGCAGTGTAAATAGACATGCTTCTTGCAGGGGTGTAGGTGTGTGTGTGTGTGTGTGTGTGTGTGTGTGCAAGCCAGGCTCTAAAAGGCTCGTGACTCTTAGTGAGAACGTGGTCATGGTATTTTCATGTCTGCCTCTTGAGAGCAAGTGTAAAGCACAATCCCCAAATAAAGACCACCATTTCACCAAAGACATCTCCCCCTGAGGTCTCTGTGTTGCTCAGACATATGACAAGAAGCAGGACGGAGCGTCTGGGATGAAGCAAGCCCCTCGGAGAGGATGGCTGGGATTCCACTCAGTGCTCCCCAGAGGTGCTCCGTGGAAGCGGCAAGCCACGGAGATGAAACTCCATATCATCCCGTGGGGCCTCGGCAGCCACCCACATCCACGCCCCTTCTCTCTAGCTGCCTCCCACTGTGGAGGTTATAAATCCCAACTCCCACTGTTCCAGACTCCTTTGCAGCTTGGGGAGTACATATGCCAGTGAAATTTAAGAGGAACTCTACAGGGGCTTTTGGGAGAGTTTATGCTTTTCTGCTAAAAGAGGCAGACATGCTAACACCTCCCTGGCCCTCCATTCTTCCTGCCTTGATGGAAGATGTGATGCCTGGAGCCACAACAGGCATTTTGTCACCATGAGGAAAAGCCAAGAGAATCTCAGAGCACTGACCCTGTCATCATTTGACCAAGCCAATGCCAGCAGCCATCCTCCAGAATTCTTACAAATAAAAAAGAAAACTCTCTTTGTTTAAGCTGCTGTTGGTCAGTCTCTGTTACTTGCAGCCAGAGTATTCCTGACACAGAAGGCCAGCCTTGATGCCTAGAATAACCACCAGACTGTACTGAAAATCCAGATTCCTCTTTCCCATTAAAAACCAAGTGGAGGAGTGGGGCGCCTGGGTGGCTCAGTGGGTTAAAGCCTCTGCCTTCGGCTCAGGTCATGATCTCAGGGGCCTGGGATAGAGCCGCACATTGGGCTCTCTGCTCAGCAGGGAGCCTGCTTCCCCCCTCTCTGCCTGCCTCTCTGCCTACTTGTGATCTCTCTCTCTCTCTCTGTCAAAAAAATAAATAAATAAATAAATAAAATCTTTAAAAAAAAAGTTAAAAGAAAAACAACTGGAGGGGCACCTGGGTGGCTTAGTCGGTTAAGTATCATCTGACTTGTGATTTCAGCTCAGGTTATCATCTCAGGGTCGTGGGATCGAGCCCCATGCTGGGCTCCACACTCAATAGGGGGTCTGCTTGAAGATTCTCTCTCTCTCTCCCTCCGCCCCTCCCAGACCCCTTACACACACACACACACACACACACACACGTATGCTCTCTCTCAAATAAGTACATAAATCTTAAAAATAATTAAATTTTTTTTAAAAAGAAAGAAACTAGTTGGATTCTGATCGCCAGCAGCAATGCCTGAGATCTGTTTCTCCGTCTCTTCTCCACACAGCCCACACACCAGTCTGGTATCTGGGCACCCTTAATTCACACAGCATTTAGTACGGATTTGCTGAGGGCCTGCTCGGTGCCAGGAAGCACGCTGTGTGCTGGGGGCACAGTCAGAAACAAAACGGTGAGATCATTGCCATGGCCGCCTCCTCGCTGGTCTCCCTGCTTCTGCCCTGCCCCCTATGGCCTATTCTCGAGAGAGCAGCCAAAATGAGCCTGTAAACATGGAAGACAGGTCTTGGCGCTCCTCTGCCCAGAGTCCTCCCTTACCCCGACACCCCCCATGACAGCCTTCCTGCCACCCGGAGTGCCCTGCCTGTCCAGCTCCCTCCTCACCTCTGGCCTCCTGCCTTCTGCCCTCCACCCTCCCCCAGCTCCGGCTGCCAGCCCAGTCTCCTCATGCCCCACATCCCACAGGTGCCTTTTCACCTTCTTCCCTCAGAGAGACATACAGTCCTCTCCCCCACAATCTTCAGGACTTTTTTCTATGTTCTTTCTAAAGGAGGCCCTCCGTGGCCGACCCGTCTGACTCCCAGCATCTCATACACACTTCCTATCCTTCCTTCCCCGTCTTATTTTTCCTCCTCACCATTTGCCACCACCAAACACACATCTTCCTTGTTTACCTTGTGTGTCTCCCCTAGCGAAAATGTCCCCTCCATGAGGGCAGAGATGTTTGTCTCATTTCCTGCTGAATCCCAAATGGCCGTCCTCCCTCCTCCTTCCCCACTAGCAGGTAACCTGGCCTGTGCCAGTCTCCGGCCGACTGGGCAGACTGGGCCCTGGGAGCAGGAATCCAGTCCTGTCCCACTGGTGGCTTTGAGAAAAGCCAAATAGGCTTGGGGCTCCAGCCATGCAACAGGTGCTCAATTCCTGTTTGTTGAATGATGAGTAAGTGAGAAGGTGCTTCTCCCGGGGCAGCACCGCCATCACCAACCTGCCTCCTCCCTCCACAATCCCACCTGGGCCCAGAAATGTCAGTTTGGTCCAGAAGCTTTCCTCTGGCTGCTTGGGCTATTGTCAGTACACCTGGGCCTGACCGCCTACAAGACCAACACTGGAGCTGTGTGGCTGCTACACGCCATTCTGTGGCCATCCAGAGAGTTAGAACATTCCCGAAGGCAGAGGTTGGGTCATCGCCGAGTCCTGGGGACCCTGGAGAAGAAAAGGAGCCCTGACATCAGACTCTGCCCTACAGGAGAACCAAGGGCAGCAAGCCCATTCTCACTAAGCACCCGTCTCCCCCTACACCTGTCAGACAACAAGCCCCAGTCTGGGTTTGGGGTGAACCCTCTTCGATGGCTGATGGGCCCAAATACACAACCTGGGAGACAGACCTCAGGAGGTGAAGGGGCCCCCCATCCCTGATTCTGCATATGTAGCCCAGGGGAGCCCTCAGAACCCAGGAGCCTTTGTTGGGCAGCCTTACCTCGCTAGGGATTATACAACTTCCAAGCTCCTGGAAGGCAGGGACTCTGGCTGATTCAGCTTCCATTTGCCAGTACCAACCCAGGTGTTCCAAAAGCTGTGACTGGGTGTCAGTTACAGTCACTGCATTTACAGAAGGCCAGCAATGTCACCACCCATGACAACGCGATGTCAGTCTCACTATTCTGCAGATTAATCAACGTTTAGGTAAATTAAAAGACCTGCCCGAAGTCACAAAACCATCCCTGGGGAAAGACAAGGTTCCCACAGAGCTGTCTGTCTGCAAAGTGCACATTTTCTCCACTACAGCTAGGCCTCGATCCTAGGAAGGGCACGGAGGAGGGCCCTGTGCCATTCTGACCTTTGCCCATGAGATTCGTCGAGCTGTTTTAACCTTCTCTGTGTCTGAACTTGAGGGATCTGGCCTCTACCCATAAAAAAAGACTCAGGTCAACATACACTGATGTGAGTTCTGGGGTTCTGCCCCCCCAAAGCCAACCAGTCTCTGGAGCCAAACAACA